CGTACGTTTTGTGGCTTAGTGGTTAGAACTGATGATTACATTGCCTTAATGAGTAACGCAGAGGATGAACTACAGCTCATGATTACTGAACTGGACACAAAAAAGAAGAAGAGTAGGCCTCAAAGTTAATATGCATAAAACCAAAGTAATGTGCAACAGTCTGCACAAAATGGTGCTTTGCAGTAGGTGGAGCGACGCTGAAAGTTATAAAGGAATAAGCTGAACCATAGGACTGAAATACCTAACTAGAAGAATAAGGATTGGGTGGATCATATTCGGCAAGCATTCTCCAATAATGAATAGTAATCTGTCACTAACCATCAAGAGGAAGGTATATAACAGCTACATGTTCCCGGTACTTACCTACGGAGCAGAAACCTGGAGGCTCACAAAGAGGGTTCAGCTTAAATTGAGGACAAGGCAGCGAGCGATGGAATGAAAAACAACAGGTGTAGCCAAGAACAGAGCAGAGTGGGTCAGGGAACAAACAGAGGTTAAGGATATTTTTTATTTACTTTTAAATTTTGTTTGGCCATTTCCACAAAATGCCTACGAAGGGGGCAAAATGAGAGAGTCTCTCCTGACTTGGCCCACTCTTTGTGATGCACCTCCGGCAGGTACTGCAAAACAGCACATAGAAATATTCAATTACACATACAAATAAGAAATAAACAAGAAACACTACACTCGGAAACAAACAATCGGAAAAATATAAGTTAAATATTCAAACACAGCTGCTCCTTAGCGATATATACAAAATGCATTATCAGCACTATTAACATATATTGAAATCATACAAGTTGAGTGTAATATAAAAACAATGATGAAAAATAATGATTGCAATCAATATATTTCATACATTACCCATCTTCAGCACATACAACCTACAAGTTGATTTGGATTATTACGTTCGTCATTCGCTCCATAAATTTTGTAATGTTTCAAGTCTCCCCAGCGTATTCAATTACCTCAAGAATCTTCTTGCACATTAGAAAAATTTGGTTGCCAATAGACTGCATGCCATAGTTAGTCCAACTCATTGGCCCCACGAACCCAACAGTGCGCAGGTTATATGTAAGGCAGTCGCATTAGTCTAAGGTTGTCCCATTGATATCATAGTTGAAATCAAAAAGAAGTGGACAAGGGCCGGGCACGTAGCACGTAGGTAGGATAACCGCTGGTCAATAAGGGTAACTAACTGGATACCCAGAGATGGCAAGCATGTTCAGGGGAGACAGAGTTAGGTGAACCAATGAGATGAGGGTTCGTAGATATAATGTGGCAGCAGAAAGCACAAGGCCGCATTGATTGGCTAATCATGGAAGAGGGCTTTGCCCTGCAGTGGGCGTAGTTGGCTGATGATGATGATGAGCGCCTGCGTGCTGTGCTTTGACAGGTCATTGATTCGGCACCTTGCGGTAAAGCTGTTCCATATCGTTTTCTCCTTCGCAATCTGTTAGTATATATTTATAACATCATATCGGTGACGGAAACACATCAGCAGCGCCGTGGTGGACCCCTGCATGAAGCACCGTCATGTTAAAAAATTGAAATTAATGAGAAGTGAACTAGCACTGATTGCATAATCTGCATTTATAACAGCTCTAGTGAACTTGCATTGGTAGCACCGTTCAGTGTGTAGGTGATTAGTCTCTGGTTGAAGTTGTCATTTTATTGTTTGCTATAACTGCCATTTTTAATAGAAATCTTACCGGCTTCATCTGTCGTCTTTTTTTGTGCATTACTAGCAGCACAGTTGAAATGAGCACTCTTGAAGAAGGCTGTAAACCCCCCTAGTTCTTTAGAAACAATGTTTTGCAGGACGTATTCGTCATATAAAGAAACAAGCAAAGCTATTACCTGTGCAAGTACCAGCAGTACTAATTGCATTTTTGTGCACTTTGCGCTGTGATAAAGGGGCCCTCTAATATTTCACTAACGCACATGGGATGCTTGCTCTGAGGCCAGGCTTCCATGCTTTACTGTTGAAGCCTGTGCACTGACGCCCTGTAACCTGCATTTGGTGGCAAAAAACGGGTCTTCAAATAACTTGTTGCCACGCTTCATGCTATAATGCTTTAAAATTAGAATTGTAAGAAAAAATGCTTCTTAGAATATCTCACGTTGTTGGCATCTATATCTATTGTTTCCAGTTGTTGGTGTAACACTGCATGTGATTTATTTATTTATTTAATACCAACAGCGCCCATACATTATAGCGGGGGTTGGCAGGGGGGGAGTACAGGAAAAGAACATGAAAATTGCAGGTTAACATAAGTTTGTGTAAAAAAAGAAAAGAGCCACCATGATGGCTACAAGCAGCGCTGACTAACTCCCAGGTTCAAAATGTGCAGATATACTCAATAAAATGGAGGGGTGATGACTTGTAGATAAATTGGCAGAGCATTGGACATGTTATTCTTATGTTTCAACTTCGGTCACTGCTGGCAGCACATTGTCTTTTCATCCAATTTTCTTCACATTCAAATCATAATAACTAGTAATACCATCCCCTTTGCTTTCCTTGGCTTGATTGTCTGCTACATTGTGTGTCATCACATTTTGTTTTTGGCTTGTAGAACCCAGATCCTAGTTTAATTTTTTTCAAATGCTGAAGCTGTGCTAGTTTTTTGATTAGATGGTGCTGTTTAATGCCAACTCAATGTAGAGGCTACATGATTTGTCCTAGGCAAATATGTACACTTATGTATGTATATATGTGTGTATGTATGTGTGTATGTCTGTATGTATGTATTTATGTATTTATGTATGTATGTAAATTGTGCTCAAGCTTAACACAACTCGGAGGTAAAGTTTAATTAATTTATCGATAACAGTAACCTGGAAACGGGAAAGGGTATGCCATGCTGCAAGCATTTTCGGTGGACCTCTGTTTTAAAAAATCCAGGTCTTTACAAAGCCGTATTATTCACTCAAACTGTTAGATTATTTTCCTTTACATTTATTTGTATCTCATGACGTATTGAGCCAAGTGACTGAGAGCGGCGATGACAAAAGTCATTCAGTCAGTAAACGAACTTTAACCAATGTTCTTCAAGAGGGTGGGTCAGCTGCGGGCCGATTCCACGTTGGAACAGGAAGGGCATGCCCCTCCCTCAAACTGCAAGCCCTCTGAACAACATGAATTTGGACCTCCCGGTCTGAGCTGGTGATTGCCGTCCTCCAGGCGTTCTTCTTACTGAGAGGCTCACCATCACATAGCACCGTACAATTGCCCAAGCATTTGAGACAAAAGCATGTGTTAGCTGTCAGCAGAATGCAACACATTGTAGATGCCAAAAGTAATGGAAATTTATTGAACATTTTACTGGATTAAAAGTCGGTTGCGTGGCTCTACCGCGAAGCACGAATGTTATCAGGATCTTATGCGCTGACCCAGCATCTCAACTGGCCTTTGTACAGTAGCTCGCCTCAACCATCCATGCTTGTTCATCGGTACACTTGCAAGTCTTGTTGTTCAGAGGGCAGCTCTTAGGTACCCATTCATGCGTTGAGTGCTGTCGTCATCAGTAATGTAACCGATAGATGTGAAAAAGTAAAATGAGAAAAATTATGCGGGCTTGAATGGTAAGACAGGTTCTTGGGCTAGCTGGTGATTTGGAATCTACATATTTGTACAGCGCGAGACTACAAGTAGTTACGGCATAACTATGGAAAAAGAGACAAAGACAGAGAAGAGCGCTGTTTTCTGTCCTCGTCTCTTCTTTTGTAATAACACCATCCCTGCTCGTAGTCTTGCATTGCGCGAATATGTTGGGTTGAATGGGGTATGAAATGGAGCTTTCTGCATGGCAGTTTAGCATTCTACCATATAGCCATGCTGGTGCTTGAAACTAATTTGCAAGAAGACTGTATACATGCGTCATGTCAGGCAAAGATGCATTAACAGTCATCGCATGATACTTTTTGTGCAACGAGTGTGTCCACTGCAAAGTGCACAGCCATAATTATTCATCGTCATCAGCCACATGCAGTATCAACTAAGTGCACATAATAGCTTACAGATTTGTAGCGGGTACCTTGCTTATCTGCAGAAAGTTGTATGACGGCATAGTGGGTGATGACCTAATTCACAAAAGTTATGAATTATGGTGTTGTCGATATCCAGCACAAAGCCAAAACTTTGAACTGAGTTGGTCTCGATTGCCCCTACACGAAGCTGCCCTCAGAATTTGCATTAGGCAGTGTCATAATGGTCGGTGTTTTTTTTTTTTGTGTGTGTGTGTGCAAATGAGTTCTGCAAAGACCCAAAAGGGTGTGGAAGAATTAAGAAAGAAAAAATAGACAACCACCCATCAGGTGGTTGTATATTTTTCCTAATTTCTTTCTTGTCTGTAATAAATGGTACTAGCATTCTCATATGGTACATACAGGGAATGCATGTTGAAGACAAAAAGTGTTACTTAAGATGATCCAAAGTGTGTGTTGTTTTCGCGAGCTTCTATGTGCTTTAATATGGCCGCATAAAATTGCCATAATGGCACCTTTATTCGCTCATTTCCAAGGTAACACAAGCTTTGGTTGCTTCCAAGGTAACACAGCCTGCTCCACCAGATGCCGCAACTGACCGCAGCTGTTCATCACAAACGGCGTTTTTTTTTTAAATAAATTATTTGATAGTTAAGTGTTGCTTGACTAAGCTCATGCAGGGACACTATATCCTTAGCCACTTGTAACCATGCATAATTCACTTCTTTTTACAATCCTTTCATTCGGTTTTTTCAGATTTTCCGTGAAAAATGTCAACTTTCTGTCCAGAACTGAAATCCCGTAGCCGGTGCACAAGGAACATAGAGTCGCTAAAATATAGCACCATACAAGTAAAGAAATAGGTGAATCCGTTTGACGTGATGGCAGATGCGCATGCAGTTATGCGTGCGTTCTCGCGCGATATTTAAAAAGCGCGCGCGTTTTCCTTTTTTCCCGCTCCGCCTTGTTCTGGCGGTGCTAGCGGCGCGCAGCCGCAGTAGGGTCTCTGGTAAGGTGGAGTGGGAAGATCAGTCACGTGGTAAACGTGGTGGAACCACGGGTGGAACCGAGCTCTCGAAGCTATTGTTCGCAGCCTCGTTGATTTGCGCGCGGAGTTTTGTATGCGACTCGTCGCCGAAATGTATGTGTTCGCCGAGTACGAGCATTCATTCGACACCGCCGTGGTTGAGCACGCGCGCGTTCGCATCTCCGAATCGGAACGCTTTGAGCCGAACCACGTGAATGACTTCGATCGGATGAAGACCTACTACGTTCGGTCGTGTCGAAGGGGCAGTGGACACAGTCGCACGTGTGCCTACGAGGGAGCCAAAATCATTCACATGACAGGTAAACGCGCGTGCATACGATCATTTTTTTACGAGACTTCTCTAAAGCGGGTCCGTCGAAGGTGGTGCTTGGGGCAGGAACTTAGTTGCTTTGTTTGGCATGTCGCTTTGGTGGCGGTGTGCTGAAAAAATGGAGCGCGCGCCTGCCGTGTCTGGTGATCTGTGCTGCAACCTGGTTGGTTAGGAAGCTTGTATCACCGGGGCTGTCTGCGCATCGGCCGGGACTCCGCCAGTGCGTGCGAGCGGCTATTAGCGGTTAGATGGAGTGATAAAATTTACAAGTTCGCTGGGATGTAATGCTCGCACTGGATACGGCAAGCTGGAGCTCAGTAACGTAGCATTTTGTGCGTGTTGGTATGTCATACTGAAGTTTTATAGCGTAGTCTGTGCCTTTTCGTACGCTGTTAAACTTTTGCGGGTCAATAGAAGAGGCAGCTTTAGGCAGAGATATTGAGACTGATGATGACAGTGCAGATCAGTGTTTTTGCCAGAGTAATTTTGGCACATTCTTTATAAGAACTTCTGAGGCATGTTAGAAATATATCTTGCAATTGCCGGTCAAATTTCATTCGCGTGGATTGCTCTGACCGAATCCAGTTTAAATTTCTTTTGGATTTCTATTTTGGCTAAGTTTAGGTGCAAAAACATATGCTGGGCAACAGCATTAGAAAGTAGAAGTGGCTAAATGTTTATTGCCTCTCAATTGTGCCAAGTGTGGAAGTCGGCATGCACCGACAGTGTCCATGTCAGACAGCCAAACACATGTGTGTTTAAATGTATGAACATTTTGCAGCTGTCACCATATTTCTGATTCTTGCTTCATTCAGGAATATAATGCCAAGACAGCTTCAGTACTTCTTCATGACTCTTTGTGCTTTCTATGTCATGCAGATAGATGGCATGCAGACTACGGCACGTGCCGTAAGTGCAGACTTGTGAGAATGTCTGTGAGCTTGCCGGTAGTATAAAAGGAAGTAATCGAGAGCTAATGCTATAGTTCTATAGACATTCACCCCGAATGCTGCAGACTAGTGTTCTCTTGTTGCCGGGAGTAGTAAAATCTGAAGATTTCGCGTATGTCCCATACCTATATGGATGCAGGCATACAGACTTCATTCTCAGCTCCAGTGACAGTAGGCTCACTGTTGCATGAATGAATTGTGTCCCACCAAATGGCTCATGAGCCTGCCCTTCTGTACTACTTCAACCAAGCATTTCTTCTTGCACATAATATATAGACCATCGGCATACTTCAACTTCAAGCAATATGTTAAAGCTTGCTTCTTGTGGACAATTGCCTGAAAGCTGTTTTTGTTTAACTGTGCAGTTACCCTGGAGGAAATGGCCATGTTCAAAGCAAACCGACCAAGGATGGCAGATGTTGGACGAAACTTTGTTGAGGTGAATGAACTCCTGCATGATGCAAAAGATATTGCTGACTATGTTTTTTGTAAAGCAGTTTGTATGTATTTGGAGTGTATGCTGGGTTAAGCTAAATAGTATGGAAAATATAGAGCACAAACTCATAGGACACGAGTGAAGGCCAAGGCAGACAGTTTGACCTGTCTGTGCTTTTCCTTAGGTCCCATTTGGAAGGAACTGATGACAGTAATGCCAAGTTGTTGCACTTGCATTGTCAGTTTATTCTTTTCTTTATTCAATGCTACATATCTTATATAGGTCCAAGCAGGATGAGGGCAAAAAGCAAACACAAGCATACTTAATTTAATTTGAAACCACCCCAATGTGACTGAATGCAACAAAGAATTATTCCTGTCATGTTATTGTTCATATGTGTTAGTGCTGTGTTTTGTGCATGATAACATTTATTAGTTCTTTTCGTACTCATGCGTAAAAAAGAATGCAGCTATCACAGGTGCAGCCAAAGTGTGCTCATTGAATATATTGCTGTCATTCATAAAGTTCATAGCAAAGAGAGTTCAATGTGTTATCAGCATTATAAGTGTCTAACCTAGTTACCTTGTACCTAACAGGCATGCGAATAAAGTATATGCTAAGTTATGCTGTCGCTTAAATGAAAGTAAGAAATATGCTCTGACGTACAGTTGGATACAACCTAGAATGTATGAAAACGTGCCACCCAGATGGCTGCAGTGCTTCAGCTGATCACCTCTGTGACTTAAGAAATAGTCCCACTCATGCACTTAGCAATAACCTGCAAATATAGGGTCACTAGCAGTCCAGCTTGTGATGTCAGTTCCAAGTGCGTGCCCATTGATGCAGGATTGTGATCATCCCGTGGAAATGCCATGGACTTCCAAATTTGTATCCAACTGTAGTATGCTTGTCAATTTAAACATCGTTTCCAAGAAAACCAGTAAAAATATGTGTAGGCTGTGTCCACGTTGTGGTTCTGTCGCAAATTAGCGCAACTTGTACTAAATCGCGCTTGAGTGGATCACAGCAGAGCTGGTGGGCGCATAGCCCAGGTCCTGGCTTGGCTGGGCTTCTCCTCACCCTCAGTGTCCTTTCATACCACTTTGCTATACTATACAAGGCTATGCTATGCCCCTGCTATTGGGCCACGCAGCCGAGCGGTTACGATGCTTGCTTTCAGATCATGCAGGTTCCAATCATCATCATCAGCCTGACTACGTCCACTGCAGGACAGAGGCCTCTCCCATGTTCGCCAGTTAACCCGGTCCTGTGCTTGCTGCGGCCAATTTATACCCGCAAACTTCTTAATCTCATCTGCCCACCTAACCTTCTGTCTTCCCCTAACCCGCCTGCCTTCTCTGGGAATCCAGTTAGTTACCCTTATTGACCAGTGGTTATCCTGTCTACGCGCTACATGGCCGGCCCATGTCCATTTTCTCTCCTTGATTTCAACTATGATATCTTTAACCCCCGTTTGTTCCCTAATCCACTCTGCTCTCTTCTTGTCTCTTAAGGTTACACCTGCCATTTTCCTTTCCATCGCTCACTGCGTCGTCCTCAACTTAAGCTGAACCATCTTTGTAAGTCTCCATGTTTCTGCTCCGTAGCTAAGTACCGGCAAGATAGAGCTACTATATACCTTTCTCTTGAGGGATAGTGGCAATCTACCTGTCATAATTTGAGAGTGCTTGCGAAATGTGCTCCACTCCATTCTTATTCTTCTAGTTACTTCAATCTCGTGGTTTGGCTCTGCGGTCATTACCTGCCCTAAGTAGACATAGTCTTTTACAACTTGAAGTGCACTATTACCTATCTCGAAGCGCTGCTCTTTTCCGAGGTTGTTTTACATTACTTTCGTTTTCTGCAGATTCATTTTAAGACCCACCTTTCTGCTCTCCTTGTCTAACTCCGTAATCATGAGTTGCAATTCGTCCCCCGAGTTACTCAGCAATGCAATGTCATCGGCAAAGCGCAGGTTACTAAGGTACTCTCTATAAACCCTTATCCCTAACTGTTCCCATTCTAGGCTTCTGAAAACCTCCTGTAAGCACGCAGTAAATAGCATTGAGGAGATTGGGTCCCCCTGCCTTACACCCTTCTTGATTGGTATTCTGTTGCTTTCTTTATGAAGCACTATGGTAGCAGTTGATCCCCTGTAGATTTCTTCCAGGATGTTCATATATACTTCATCGACGCCCTGATTCCGCAGTGTCTGCATGACGGCTGATATTTCTACTGAATCAGGTTTCAATCACGCCTCGCCAAGAAATATTTTTGCCAAAAGTGGCTCTCTCGCTTTCTCTCTGTACTCATTCTCTCACCCTTTAAAGTTATTACATCCCACGCCGATCAGCACATGTGTTTGGAGAGCAAAGCTGAAGAGGATGAAAAGAGCATGCGCCATTATCATGACGATGATAATTTTCTACCTACGATGCATGCCTAACCGTGAGCATAACAGCTCTGCTGTAAATTTAGATTTTGAGAAAATAGGCTAGAAAAAATTCTGTCGCCCTTGTTTGTCTTTGTTGTGGCCTCACAGTAGCAACTGCACTTTCGAAGCCATCCAAGTGAAAGACCAATGGGCCCGTCAGCCCTCTGTTTCCAGGCTACAGCTGCATTATGTCCAGTGCTCACACTGTTTCTGCGGCTGACAGACCAGCACATCTCACAGCAAGATGTTGCGATCTTCCTTACCTTCACTTGAGCTGGGCAACGTGTCACTGACTGAGCTAACAATGTCGCTGTCAGACAAATCTTCATAAGTTTAAATGTCACTCTCAGCGTTTGCCAAATGCAGACCCCCTTGTTGCACCTTGTTGCCCCAAATGTCTGCAGCCACTGTCGTCATCTGTTTCGTTGTCTGCATCCAGTTCACTGGGGTTGACTTTTTGGGATCGCACAACACACTTTGCATGTGTGTGGAATAGTTCTCAACAGTGTTTTACCTTTTATGCTGCTAGAGATGTGCGAGCAAATTGATGGTACTTAGCACATTTATGCACTCAGTCTTGTGACTTACTATTGTAAAAAACATCTTGTCTTGGCACTTCACCTTTTTGGTGTGGCTGCTGGTGAGGATGAAAACTTTATACCATGGTTCGCATTCTGGCATAAAAGTCACTTGCTAGATCGTACATGACGAACAACCTCTTCCTGGCCATTTTACTGTTGAGAAAAGTATTGTGTGATGGTTCAATACAAGGGAGGGTTGCACAGCATGTTTCGGGCTAATGAAATACATTCACATTGTGAAAGAGGGTGCACGATGATGAAAACTGGGCTTTTACACAGCTTTTATGTAAAATAAGTACATGGCTTACGTATTTGCCAAGAAAAGGGAAATGTGTTAATGCATCAGACGTTCGTTTGTTGTGTTCTTGATACTTTCTATAATTTAGCACTCGGGATAAGCTGGACATTTCTTCTGGTGCAGTGAAATTCAAATAATCGAGCTTTTATTGTATTTCCTCATGAGCATATTGAACAAGACAAGCTCATTTGTGGGCTGGTTAATGTGTGACCTTGTAGATGGCAGCACTGACCTGCTCCTGCTGATACTTTTTCCTTTCAGAGTTTAACTCTCTCGATTTTTTTTTTTCTGGCAAGTCGGTGTTGTTTTCGAAATTGTCGACAAGAGTGGCGATGTGGGCTTGTCGGTGAAACATTTGAAAGAAATTTGTGTAGCGCGAGGCGAAAAAACGAACACAGGAAAGAATAGACTGAGGAGACAGAGCGCTACTATCAACATGTTTATTTTCGACCTCAAAGCTGCTTTTAAGCCATAATCGTCAGGCGACCAAGCAGATAAGCACGTGTAATTCAGATACATGCACGACAATGCCATCTACCTACAAGAAAAAACGATAAATAGGACAACAAAAACCTCACAGATAAAATTGCGTATCACTGCGTACGCAGGAACGCCAGTTCCTTGGGTGACAAGGCAATTGAAGGCTTGCTAATACAAACATCTCCAAGAGCATCAATAAGTTCGGCTATGATCAACCGAGTCATCTCATCCTCATGCCGACCAACAATGATTGTACTCTGGAACAAAGGCCGGCAGCCACACGCGTGAATGTGAAGAGCGAGAAAACCTTCTGGCGGCAGTTTATTCGCCTTGTAATTGTGTTCTCTCAATTGCTCATTCACACACCTACTGGTTTGGCCGACATATTTTTTCCCACATGTGAACAGAATAAGATAAATGACGAACGAAATGCACTCCACAAATTTGTGTGTATGCCTTTTTGTGCACAACACCCTTTCCTCACGTGACGGATTCGTCGGCACACACAATTTCCCAAGTTTATCACGTACTGAAAATAGCACCCTAATATTGTCCCGAAGTGCCACTTTCTTAAGATTATGAGACAGCTGGTGAACATATGGAATTACGGCCGTGCGTCTTGATTTTGCCGGTGAATCGACATGAACATTAGAGTGGCTTGACCTTGCACGAATCCTTTTCAATTCTTTTTCCGCAACTGAAACTAAAACATGATCCGGGTAGCCCGATCCTTGCAAACGTGTGATCTGACTATGGAAACTCTGCTTCATAAGGTGCGCACATGACTTGTTCAATGCGTTTTTGAGGTCGTCGCGAATGGCTCTCTTGGTTAGTTTGAAATGACCGGGAATGAAATGGGAGTAAAGCTTTCTGAGCACGCGGATCATAGCACCAGCATAGCAGGTTGTCAGAACACTGAACACTTAAATCTAAAAACCTTATTCGTCCGTCGCTAGGCCATTCTACTGTCACTTCAAGGGGCTTAAGACCATCACGAAACACATTCAACACACTAGTACTCTCACTTTGGAAATTTTCCCCCGAGCTGTCAATGAAAATAATAAAATCATCTATATATCGGAACACTTTCTTGGCCGTCGTATCTGCGAGACGATATGCCACAATTCTATCAAGTTCTGCCAGAAACAGATTGCTCAAGACAGGCGCGACGCAAGAGCCGATACATATACCCTGCTTTTGCAAAAGAATATCATTGTTCCATTTAATGAACAACGAAGTAAGATAAAATTCAAACAAGGTAAGAAAATTATCAGCGGATATATCTGACTCAGACAAAAACTTAACATGCACCAAATTCATCAATGCTACTTCCAACACATTTTAGCATTCGTCTGAGTCAGGTATCAGTTAGTTTTCGTTAGTTAGCTTTTAATTATTGTCAGAGTGAAGAAAATTGTCAGAATGATAAAATATACAAACGGTGCCTTTTTTTTTCATTATTACTGATGATTACTAGAGGGAAGCTTGCCACGGACACTATGGGCTTCTGTGGCTTCGTTACTCTTATTTGTCTTAAGTGCATGTGACAGTTAATTTAGTTCAACGTGCTGTCGGCGTCAAATGAAACTTGAACAGCGGCAAGTCTTTGTGATGGTATAGTGTGCGCCGTCAAGTTATCATGATTGACAGGCATGCATATATTCGCAGAGCTGCCGAACAGGATGCGCGTGCCTCTCAAAGGTGATAAGTGGACGGTGCGCACTATACCATCGTGAAGGCTGTTAAGGTTTCATTTGATGTGGATAGTACAGTAGAATCTCAGTGATACAAAACTGCGACAAATGTGAATTCGCCAAATTCCCCAGTCAAATCCCACTGTCCGTGGGGCCAAAGTTTGAATGTTCCCAACAATTTTAACAATTTTTCTAATCACGGCAAGTGATATGAACATTAATGCCGAAACAGTCGATTGAAGGCGAGAGCAGCATGCCCGAAGCTTCGAAAGTGCGTGTGCGACCAGCGCATGCACTGTCTTCTACAGGGCATGTGATTGTTGTTGCCACAACCGCTGTGGCCGAAACCATGGTCGTTCATGACACGATCATGTATGGCAACGACATAAATGACAGAACTCTACAAGTGTGCACACGTTCAACGCTGGACCAGTCAAAGAAAGCAACGCTGCTTTCCGCAAGCTCTATGGACAAAACTGCGTCATCTGCAATCATAGATAGCATAAAACGACCTAGTTTGAAGGTACGTGCGCAAGCAGCACATGCAGATTGAAAAGGGAACTACCGTTTGCCACAACCGCTGCGCACAAAACTGTGGTTGCGGCGGCGCGCTATAGCGATCTACCAGCTCCGAGGGCACGTAACTAATGCAGTGGTAGATTAAAAGCAGTAAGGGTGTAAAAAAGGCTAGAAGCGGTATGGCATTCCTGCCCAAAGAATCTAGTAGCGAGCAGTGCGTTGACCCACGGCTTTCTCGGCAGCCATCTGCGCCTTCCTGTTCGTTCACGTGTGTCCCAGGATGAGATAGCGCGAGTTGTTTTGACGGAAATAGATTTTGCTAGCTGTTTTCGATGACGCGAAATTGCAGGAGTATTTGCGCCCCCCCTTTGAGACTTTCACTGTAGAGGGAAACCCTACCCAAGCGTGTTCGGCCACTGCACACTCCAAGCAATTATAAAGCCACAGCGTTGATTTGTGCTTGCAATCAGGACCCCTCACCCTCTTTTTTTCTTGATGTTTTTTTGTGTGTTTGTTTTTTCTGAGAAAAAAAGGGGGGAATAATTCAGTGCAACCCCTCTCACCCCCGTTGCAGAAATCTCCCATATTCAGAATCCCTGAACTTGGCAGGTATGCATCAAGCAATACTGAAAATGGCTGTGAGTCGACAACTTTGAGATTAGTTACGTGAATTTAGGACACGAAATGCCCAACATCACTCTTTTCAATTTTTTCACCTGTCAAATAGTGTGCTCACTGCGGCACGCTGCGTTGCCGAGATGTTGATGTGCTCCGTTGTTGTCAAAACTTTCACAAGTTACATTTGTCGATATGTTCTCTCCATAGACATTCAGACACATCTGCATGATTATTATTTATTTGTGTATTTTTATTTACCGTAACTGTCTGACAAGTGGCATCCTGAGTTATCTCGGATTGGCCGTGAAGGTGTCAACACTATCCTAGCACCTGCAGAGCAGAAAAAGGGGAGGACTAAAAGCAACACAGCCCTAACATCTAACAAATGATCTGTTTTACCAAGCTGCGCGAGTGAAAATTCGAAAACCATGAAGCAACACACGCAGGCATTGGTTCCTGTGTTTTTACTTGTACTGCTTCGTAAAATAAAAGAAGTAGAAAGTCAGAAAGTAGAAAATTAGCTCTGCGTCCATACTGTGCCCTTGTGTCCTGTTCTTTCTGTGCGCTACAGCAGTTGAAGTGCAATGCCACTATGTCCAAGCTCACATTCTCTCAGGTTAATAGTATTTTGCGATGACATCCTCATAGAATAGAGGTTTCTGTTTCAGGAAACGCACAGCCCTCAGCCACCCCTGTGCAAAGACAGAGACCACATCCGCGAAGAAGAGAGGCAGCAACAGATTGACGATGCCCTCAATAATTACAAGCTGCAGTGTTTGCCTGTGGGCGCAAGCACAGATCTGGAGCAGAGGCTGCTGGCGATGGAGAAAGAACTCAAAAGACTGAGACAAGGAGGGAAACAGTGAAAGACCTGCGGCTGCAGTCTGCAATGGGTCCCAAACTGCCTATGCCGACCTCGAAAAAAAATATCGAGAGGGTGCAGACAGATCTTGCGAATCTGAGGAGTGACCATGTGCAGCTGAAGAAACGCTTTCGAGATGGAAATCGTTGTAAGTGCCCCTTGAATATCTCAGCGGTGGTCCGACTGCACCAATCGCACCGTTTTGCTACAATTTCACATCCCTGCACCTTACTGCGCACATTTGAGTACAGCTTGCGCCAACTGCGCCAAAGGTTACACGGCATCGAAACGTTTAGAGCCGAAAAATATTTTTGATCACAAGGAATACTATAGTTTCTTCATAATGCAACTGGTGCCTTCTGCTCGATCCATTGCAGCAATGCACCTTGTCGTTATATTCAGCCTATAGCCTAAGGCTCCGTGCCGACGCGTGTGTCTCCAAAAGAAGACTACCTGGCTGGCAAATCTTTCTAAATTATTCCCTCCCACTTCTTGAAAGCCATGCTCACTAGCAAGCTCTGCACGGCTATCATTATTAATATTTTTTTTTACAAGTTGTTCGATGACGAATGCAGAGTGGCGTTGTCACGAGAATTTATCACTGTTCACAGACTACCTTACTGCGTTGTTCGAGCGGCGGCATTCGTTAAGTTCAAATTGGCATGCAAAAACTGTAAATTAAGGAAGCAAAGCGGAAGTAGTTGCATTAGTCTCTGCAGCACTTAGTAAACCCTAAGGTGGATCTGAGAAGAGGGGATGTGAGCGTTCGGAGCATGCCTCCCCCCCCCCCCCCCCATAAAGAAAGATAAATAACTGGTGGCATTTTTTGTAATGGCTTTATTGCACCTGTCATTCACAGAAACCGTATGTGTTATGCTTACCTTGTTACTAATACCGTATTTACTCGTGTAATGAATGTGCTTCTTTTTTTCTAAAAAAAATCAAAGCAAAGTTGGCGGTTCGTTCATTATGTCGGGCAAACTTCATGCAATCTTTTTTGGCATGAGGGATAAATGTGGTAATGCAAAAGAAAAAAAAGTTTGGACGCATAGTCTTTTGCAATCGACGTACGCGTACACTGTTAGGAAACAGCTTCTTTGTTTCACTTCACTAATTTTCGGTGGTTGAAGGTGCTATCTTCAGCAAGCTGTCCCCACGTGGCCTGCACAGGCCATAGAAGCGTTTGGCGGCTATCTTTTCTCGCAACCGTTTAACTGCATCAGTCGTATCTGCCTGTGATGTCGAAGGGCTGCCCAGAAGTGTGCGCTACGACGCATTTGGTCAACTTAGTGACAACCTTGCACAACGACCGCGCTGCCGTCATTGACACTGTAGCAAGTAACCAACATTGCAGCAAGCTACCATCAAAGAATCAAAATAATCCATCAATAACAAGAATAACAACAAAATACAGCCACTGCCTCTCTGTCCACATGAGAAGTTACTGTAGAAATGGTAGCCTGTATCTTGCGTTTCGGGGAGTACACGCAGATAACAAGCACGTAGAGCAAATAGCAACTGAAGCGAGCATCGCGGGAGTGCTACCATGTTGCAGAAGTAGCCACAATGTTTTCAAGGCGACGCTTAAGTGATTTTTTTTTTCTACTTTTCCAGAAGCCCTCGACGCGATGGCGACGAATGGCCCTTAGCAACAGCCATGGCGACAGGAAATCCTGTCGTAATAGTGTTACAGTAAGAAATACCTAAGCCAAAAGAAGTAACTTAGTTACTGTTACCTAGTTTCTAAAGTAACTTCATTACTGTTACGTTACCGTACTAAGGAAGCCATGTAATACATGCAAAATGATAGGAATGAATAAAGGAAAGGCGGGGATTTTAACCAGACTGGGGGAACTGGTATGCTGCCCTACACAGGGGAAATGGAGTTTACTAAAAACGTGCAAAGAGGTATGGTAAGTGCTTAACGATTGAAGACAACGGGCAATAATCATTGACATTTATTACCCATGTTCCTCAAGGTGTACAAGACTTGTTCGAAGAGTTTTGCGTCGGCTAAGCACACAAACCGTTGGGACACGTGTTCGCGAAATCCAAAGGCAACACACTTGCGCATGATCAGTGCTGCATCATCTCCAAGCACGATGCAGGGATTGCAAATCGACATAATTACATCAACGAAACAGCAGCAAAGGGTCAGAAAAGGACTACAAACGAAAATGTTGCTCATGTCAACTATGCAATGCGTTTATAAATATGTCAGGAGCGTAGCCAGAAACCTTTTTTTTTTTTTTTCAAAGGGAGGTTGGGGGGGGGGGGGGGTAACCATACTTTATGTGTGTTTGTATGTCTGCGTGCATTTACACGCAAGCAAAACATAAAAAAATTGGGAAGGTTTGAACTTTCCCCTGACTACGCCAATGTTCGATGGAGCTTGTTCAACACTGCTGGACAAGGCATAGCTTTGACATAAATAATGCGCAATGTTACCTCATGAAAAGAGGTGATAATGAAGAGGGAGGACTTCTGGAAACGTTTGCAACGTCGTGTGTGACTGATGAACGTTCATTGTTTTTTTGTTTCTCACACTGAGCTGCTCAAGGTAGACTTGTGAAAATCAGTTACACAAAAGTTTTAAATGAAAATGATTCGCATACGGCCTTTTGTTTTCATCCGTTTTGCGTTGCTGTTTTAGCCACCTGTTAAACACGATTAACTAGGAGCCTAGGACGAAAGAATGTTCCAACGGCTCATCAAGAATTATGCTAGAAGCTTAAGTGACAAAATATATATTTGCCATCCTTGACTGGCCGTTTCGGAGCGCTGCGTTCTCGTGAGAGAGAGAGAGGTTGCATCTTTTTCCTCTCCTCAGCCCCTCCGTCTTTTTCAGGAGAGTGCTCCAAAACGACCAGTCAAAGATGGCAATTGTGACGAAAAAAGGGAGGGGAGACGTGAGCTTAGGAAGTTGTTCAGTTGTAATGCGATTGAGGAACTGCCACTGCAGGATTCTGTAATGAAAAACAGGTCGAAAAAAAAAAAAATTTGACTGGAGAAAAGGGGGCATGTTCGGACATTGTTGCATATTTTAAATGTACCAAAATGGGCAAGGGGGCACACAGGATATTATGGTAGCTTAGTATGAGGGCAGTCTCATGTGCATGAGTATTGCGAATTCTGATACACTCAAATGTCGTTAAAATAAAGCCATGCCTGCCATTGAACTTCATTATATCTGAAAATTTGTTATAAATGTATATTCATAACTTTGCTTTGTTGTGGCGACAAAGCTATTCTTCACTTACTTCGATATATCCTATGTTCATTTTATTGAGGTTTGAGTGTAACTTGTTCTTATCAGGCAGGTGAGCATCTGTCAATGTGATTTGATTCTTAGTTAGAACTTCCGATCGACCAAGCTTGCTGTGTCCATCATCAACTTTAACGCACCTCTGACTTTATTGATGCAATGTCATTTCTCTTTTTCTTTTTCCAACTTGAAGCCATTCTTGAAGCTGACGGGGAGAATCTGGAAAGCAACAACTCGGGGTACTATGTAGTACGACATCGAACCCCATCACCGCAAAGAAACGGTAACTTATTTTTTGTGTCATTCCCAAGGACGATGTGATGTGTGTCACACTGTGAACCAAACTAGGAAAGTTCGTAGCTCAGCTTTGGAGGCATTGCCGGTAACCTAGTTTAGTTTCTAATGCCAGGCTACCTAAGAGCTCCATAATTTTCTGAGCTCTTCGGACATCATAAACTGGCTTGCAATTGAAACCGGCACCATGCTAGGGTGTCATGCATAATCATTATTCTAAAAAAGACATGCAAACATAAATGCCTGGCCAATATCAATGCTGGATGCCACTTGGAACACCAGTACAACTGGCACACACGCAAAGCATTTGTAATGGCTGAAAAAAAATTGCTTGTAACAGATTTTGGGTTGGGCACATGTTCACATGGGACCAACATATATTAACCCCTGAAACTGACTTGGTGCATTCTAATTGGGTAATTACATTTATTGAGGTATTTTTTGGGCCACTATATTCAATTGTTCGGCAAGGGCCAATTCAAAGTTGGAAAATTTCTATAAAAACTTGTAGTACACCTAAATTGCTCATGCTGCTACTATGGTGCTCATGCAGCATGAGATCGAGTTCATGACATTACTAGAAATCAAATTACTGTTCTGTGTGTGCTGTGCTGAAGGCCATAAAACTTCCTACTAGTACACTAGGGGGAACTGTGGCACTAGTGTCTATGGGAGCTGCAATGCTTGGCGCTTCAGTGGGCATGAGAAATATGGGTAGTACACGGATTCGCCTAGTCTTCATACTTTGCGTTCCTTTTGACTTCACATGACTTGAAGCTGTTTTGTCACAAAACAACAATCGGCAAATGTTCGGCAGTTACGCTTCTCCCCCTTCACTTAAAATTTTAGGCTTATCTTTTCAAATTGGGTCATGAAGTCTGAAACGGATTGTTATTTCCTTAGAACAAAACACAGCAATAAATAAAGCCACATGTGCGTTCGAAGCCCGCAAGCACGAAGACTTTGCAAACTTGTGTACAAGCCATCATTCCCATGGTGTCTGAATGATGGCGGCACCAGTCCTGCCTGGGTAATTTTAGGAAACTGTACTGTAGGTCGTGCATGGGTGTGGCAAGTACTGTAGACTCTTGTTAAACGTAACCTGAAGAAACCAGGAAAATGTGTTCTGTTTAATAGGAGTTTCATTTGCGGAGAAATAAGCATGACTGAAGAATTCAAGGAAAATCCAATCATGCTATAAGAAGTTGTTCTATTAAGGAGCAGTTCCGTTCAATACATTTTTGTTTAGTGAAAGCTTACTGTATTTCAGTTAGCTTAATGCAGCATTGTTGAGCCGTTTTTTTTTTCTGCGATTTGTGTCCATTAACTATCACCAAGGTGGACTAGTTGTGCTGCATAATTAGGCGGCTATGACAAGCGGTGTGGCTTCTCTGGGTTGTCTTCCAAATGTGTGCAATGTGCTTACAAACATGCCAACAATGCTATAGCTCACGCACTGAAGCCAAGATAGCTGTGAATGCTCACAATGGCGCCGTTGTTGGCACCAAGTCCTACTGGAGTACGGGGCTGCCATTGTGCCTTCGTGCTTTTTCAGTTCACCTATAATGGCATAGCTGCCCTTGCGCTGGAGTCAAAATCATCGGTTGGCTAGTCTCTGAACTTTTTAAAACAGGCAAAAAAACCATTTGAGGCAGATTGTGGTTTCAGACACCTGGCTAACATATCGATATGATTAAGGGCCAATCCAATACAGCAATTTCTTCTCGCTGTTCAGCCTGTTCACCACCAATCCAGCTGCATTTGATTTAGTAACTGGCAACTGTCCGCGCGCTAGAAGCAGCGAACTTTGGTAGGCTGCATAGGTTAGTCAGCAGCTGGTCCTGACTTCCAATCGCCAAAAATCTACGTGCTCAGCCAAAATGGGAACAACCACAAAAACTGCATGCTTTGTGTTTGATAATCGACTAATAGGAGCCTTGCACACACCTATATTAGATTGCCCATTTGCCAACCACAAGAACAATTGCGAAAAGATTGCTTGTGTCACAAGGTTAAAGCAGAGATTAGATATGTGAGGTTTAACATGCCAAAACCTCCATATGATTATGAGAGACGCCGTAGTAGAGGGCTCCGAAAATTTCAACCACCTGGGGTTCTTACACGTGCACCCGAATATTAATAAAGCAGTGATTGGGAGCGACTCTGATTGCAAGTCCGTGATCGTTACAGTGCCTTTTTTGGCATAAGCGATTTCATCGCATTGACATGCTCTGTTCCAGTGTTCAGTAAACTACACCACTTATTGTGCTTAATAAATTGGAAACCGAATAGCACAATAAGCAAGGTTTGATAGTAACAATGTCATTTGAACTAGGCAGTATTAGCAAGTATCTTCATGTGTTCTAATGATTGTTAAAGGGCCACTACCAGGTTTGACAATTTTGAGCTGACAAGCGCGATGCGTAGATGAGGCGTTCACGATCACGTCTGCCAGAATTTGCAGCCCTACGTGCCGCGGAAATGGGTTGAATTTCAAGATGAACGCTGCTCCCCCTCCCTTCTGCTGGAACGCGCCCAGAGAATGAGGGCATGACGTGCGCATATGAATGGCCCTACGTACATGCAGTGGCGTTGGTCCGCAGTGGCGTTGGTCCTCAACATACACTCTAAAAAAATAGCGAGTAAAGAGGGTGTCTTTTTGTCCCACAACAATAATCGTCATCTATATTCCGTTCCATCCTTGCGCTATCGCCCCGCGCCCTGTACATTCCGGTCACGATCGACATGCCCATTATCAGGGTTACATTGCATTCTCGATAGGAAAGTGGCCAGCGCCAAGTTTTCAAGAAAGGAAGCACATGCAAGCCTGATTACGATTATTGTTGTGGGACAAAAAGACACCTTTTTACTCGATATTTTCTTAGAGTGTAGACAACTATGCTCTGAGGTTGCCAGCTGTGCCACGTGACATGGCGAAAATTATTCACCACAACCTGCGTAGTTTATGTAATTGATTGCTTGAAGAGATTAATAAATCTTGAGATGAATAATATGACGCAATAAGGGAATGTGTGCGTCTTTTTTTCCATATGTTCCCGTGATTGCAACGAGATGCGGGGCTAATGTGCCGGCGTTTTGCATGCGTTCGTGTCCTCGTGGTCAACGCATCGAGCCGACGACAGCCGTGGAAGCGAAAGTAACGGGTTCGCGCACTCATTGTCTTCATCTATTTGACTGCGTCTAAGCCAGCGTTTCTAAACCATCCCGCAGAAGCAGGCAGTAAACCTAAAAAAACTCTGGTAAAAAAAAAAAGCCGTTCACGTGCACGAGGGTTAGGCTTGTTCGGGCACGTCATGTGCACGTGACCTCTTGGTCGGATGCCGGAGAGGGTAGGGAAGAGATTTGGCTTACGAAGGCTACGCGGAGCAGCAGCAAGAGTTTTAAGCTCGCCTCCTCTCATCCTCGTTTGGTGCTGCTTCAAGAAAACAGTTTTCTCAGCTCGTAATGAACCGATTCAAAAGCTTTTTGTGGCAAAATGTTCCTCATCAGACACCCAACAACTTCCGCGGTCTAACTGAAATTTGGTATGGGGCCTGGCGAGTGGTCCTTTAATGCCTTTTTTGGGTCACAGTCAGGGATAGTGTATCCGCACAGTCCGTAGTAAACCCAGTCATAGTGCATGCAATTTCAGTAGTATGGTCAAAATGATTGCAAGGCTTTTGTTTCCAAAAATCATTAAAAAAACCCATCCAGAGTGTTTTTGTTTTTCGAAACGCATGATGGGCTGTAGTTGGTGTTGATCAAAAGAGCAAGGAGAAACAGCTACACTGTGGGATTGAACTCACACACATGTAATTAGAGGGTTCTTCCCGACTAGTATATAGGTGTAAGTTTGAATTCTATTGCTAGTTAATCATGTTCGTTGACCTTCTCACCCAAAGCTGCTTATGACAGCGCTATGACACTCATGAAACAAAAGAAAACTGAAGGTCTTGTGTTTCTTTGTTAAGCACAGTATTAACGAAAACTAACAGACAAGGATGCCATGGAAATTGTAGAGGTGTTATTAGAAGTAATTGTAATTAAAATGTTAAGAAAGTGGATGACTAGATGACCTGCCACGGGCAAGGACAATCCTGCAATCTTTGAATTACAAGAGGGTTTCGCAGGGGTTAAGCAAGGGCCTGTTCTGGCAAACTTGACGCATGCTGATCTGTTGTTTTCATAAAGACACCTATATGTGAGGGAGTATTGATCAGCTGCCGGCTCTTGGTAATGTCATGTGCTATGTGAAGCCAGCAGGGGGAACAAGTTTTCCACACTCGCCGCCATATCTGCAATCGGGACTGACTAACGCTCCCAAGTTAAAAGTGCTCACATATACAAAATGAAGCAGACAGATTGATGACCGCCCATATAGCTTATTTGGTACAGCATCGGACGTACGGTTCTAAGGTTGCTGGTTCAAAGGTTGCTGGTTCAATCCTTGCCTGTGGCAAGTCGTTTTGTAATGATGATATGTGGGGTTTAACATCCCAAAACCACCATATGATTATGAGAGACGCCTTAGTGGAGGGCTTCGGAAATTTCAACCACCTTGGGTTCTTTAGCGTGCACCCAAATCTGAGCACACGAGCCTACAGCCTTTCCGCCTCCATTGACAATGCAGCCACCGCAGCCGGGATTCAATCCCGCGACCTGCGGGTCAGCAGTCGAGTACCTTAGCTTCTAGACCACCGCTGCAGGCCGTAAGTCAACTTGTCATCAACATCTCTTATGCTTTCCTTGGCATTAATGTCTGTTGGTTCTCATTAATATTGTGCTCTCGCACTTTCAACAGTTCATTTCTCGCAGTTGAACTTCTGATTTCATTATTGTTTTCTTTGTCAAATTAACATGATGTGTACAATGATCAGCTATTCTCTATGTAATAAGTTGTGTTTTTGTTATTGATCATTTTTTAATTTTGCTTTGTAACTGAACACGCCGCTTCTAGCCACGCTTGCATCATGGTGGTGGTGGGCATTCGTGTTTCGTTGCATGTGCGTATGGCAAAACAATGGCACGCGATGATGGCTGCACTCATCGTGGATGGTTCACGGCAAAGTTGGCTCCATGTGGGAGGGGCTTCAACCTTTGTACTACTATAAGTGGTTTTAGTACACGCTGGCCAACAAGCATGGGATGAGCTACTGCTGCTTGAGCTATCAAGTACATACATTAAACCATAGATTTTCAAACAATAATACCTGGCGCTGTGATCGTGTACCCCCATGAGAATCATGGAAAGTACAGGCTTGGGATTGGATTGCGTTAACTAGTGGACTGCCTACCGATCTTTTTTTACAGTTTCGTTCTTCATGCAGCGTGGGTAGTGGGGTGTGGTGCAAAGAACTGAAGCAGCACTTTTGTTGTCCAGACAGGCTGGAGACCGCTAGGTCTCTTGATTCGCTGCGGTGTTGGAGCTTTCAGGTTTTATTGGACAGTTTAATCGAAGCATCGTCCACTCACCGCTGCACATAGATGTAGCATATCATGCCTGTGCAGGATACTGCATGAAATTCATGTCTTTTTAATTGTGCATCTTGCCAAAACTCGTTCAAATCGACTGTAAAACGACCAGAAAGCTAAGCAGACACGCCATCATGTTCCTCTGACTCGACCTCACAACAAAATAATAGGTGCGTTGGGGGCAGACTACTTGGACAGACTTACCTTACATCGCAGCAGATCACTGTTCTGTTATTGCTATAAATAGGTAATGCGTACTATCGAGAGAAAACTAAGAATGTGTGTTTTCAATTGTCATTAAAAATAATTAATTAAACCTTCATGCCAAATCTGGAATTCAATAGCAAAGCAATGCACACCCTGGTAGTTAAATTTCCCCAGGTTTCTCTTCTACTGCCTGGTCACAAAAACTATATGCAATAAAATTTGCATACAAAAAATGGAGCAAGTTTTCATTAAGTATAACTTCACAGCACTTTCTTTTACTCTCGGCAAACAAGCATCTCGCATTCCAAAAACATGATCCATCCTGAAGCAGATCTGAAGGATGGACTTCCCATCATACTTATGGGAGTACGGCCGTCAGCACCTTTACGCCGTGTGTCTTGCAGCAGTCTGATTGACGCTGACACCACGTACGTTTGGGTTCTGCTGCCAAGATGCTAACTGTACATGCCAACATATTATGCAAGCCTACGGAGGTATTGTCTCGGCAAAAGCGCTCAGCACTTTGCGGCTGGCATCAATGAAACTAGCCCTGGCCACGCATCGAAGTGTTCATGTTGAAGGTGCTGACAGCTGTACAAGCGCCGTTGATAGAGCCCATGTAAACACTAGCAGCCAGATTCCCCTCTAGATGATATTGTATGAAACTCTATGCATTAAACTTTGTAAGACTTGGTCGGGTGCACATCATAACTATGTTTTACCATCGTTTTCTAAAGCAGGCACTTGTTCTCTAGGCTTTTCTCTAGGTTTTGAACACTAATCACGAATTGAAGTGCGACATAAATTTTTTAAGTTTAATAGCTGGTATGTGCAATAGCTCGAGATAATTACATCATGTTGCGACGCATCTGCTCTCCAAAGATAATGTTGGCTCTGACATTTTAGTAAATATTACGCCGATATGTTCGAACCGAAGAAGGTGGAATCAAAATATGGGCATTAGGTAACCCTAAATCGTCGTGTTTCTATGCACAAGTGCAGCTTACCGGGAGAAATAACTCGTGTTACTGTTTGATCCAGCCAGATTCTGTCATATTGGAAAATGCAAAGCAAAAAAACAAGTGCTTGTGATAGTAGCGTTCATAGTTGTACTATGAACAGGTGACATCTTTGCTCATTTGAAGTTCATAATTCGAAATTGCGCACTCAGATCCCACTGACACAAAGCGGGGCTTCCCATTTGTTTTAATTTTCTTTAACTTAGATCAAAATAATTACACACTACAGTTAGAAAAAATAGTATCTTGTATGCTATTCTTGGTTGCAGCATTTGTTTATTTTATTAGTGATGTCTAACGATGAAATGAGCCCCTTGTACGGTAAAACTTGCTTAGTATTTGCTCATTATGTTATGTGAACCCTCAAAAAGTTCATCAGAGAGGTATTCTTGTATTCATGCACTACCAATTTTCTTTTACTCACTTTACCAGGCTTCTCAATCGGTGAGGGCCATCTAGCCATCTATGCTGTAGTTATGTTGAAGTCACCAACTACGTACCTGACCTCTTTAGTTAGGTTCAACAGGTTACAGCTAAGGATGTGCCTCTCCTTAGAAATGTTGTTAAGTTGATTGTTAATCAATTCATGACAGCTGTGATGCTTCATTGAAATAGTTGTATTGCATTGTAATTACACTCACCAGGTACATCAGCAAATGCATAGCTATAAGAGGTCATGTGTCACCAGAAATGAGATAGCTCTTGTTACTAAAACTGAACCTCAATATATCCAGCAAAATGACATAAATGAATGTGTAGTCACTTAGGCATAGTGCAGTACTGCATTCTTTTCTGGCATGTGGTGCACGATCTCCTACTCTCTCGCCAAAAGATATGATCATCTGATGATAAGCAGCTTGCTGTATGCCGCGAGCGTGAAAGGCGAAATCACTTGAGCTTTGAGAAGATCGTCCCTATTTACTAACTCCTGTGAAAGAAATGAGGCAAGTAGAGCAGACAAATTCACTGGAAAAGGTATCGTTGTGCAGGTTCACACTCACTTGTGGCCTTAGATTGTATGTTTGCTCACTTACGTAAGGCTTACATTGTATTATACTCGGGATTACCTAACTAATGCGATTTTCATGTGCAGAGGCTGCATCCGAGGCAGAAGGCAGTGTGCACTCCAATGCTGCTTCTGATGGCAAGTAATTCAAATGTTCTTTGTGTTGTTGCACGGTTCTGTACAAGAGTCCGTTTAATTTCACAGCAAAATTTCAAATAATAATGGTTGCACACGATTATTATGAACATGGCAGTAGGGCATTAAATGTAGAAGAAGAAGGCAGCCATGCGGTTGATCTGCGTGTGTCATAAGATTCATTTGGCACAGCACTATATACTCCTATTTTTCTCGAATGTGGTGTCCCACCTTTTTTGTACTTCCTCACCTAAAGATAAGCAGCCTACTGTACGCTGTGAGCATCAAGCAGAACTAATTTGGACTGGGATGAGATCAGAGCGATCGAATAGCTGAAGTGAAAGAGAGGCGAGGCAAGCATAGCAGACGAGTTTACTTCAAAAACTGTCTCTGTATAAGTTTATACTGAGATATGACCTTTCAAGTGTAACACTTGTGTCAAACTTAGTCGTTACATTAACTCATTCGATTCTCATGTGCAGGGGATGAAGGCAACAAAGAAGATAGTATGCTCTTCACTGCAGCTTCCGATGGTAAGCAATTTAAATATTCTTTGCGTTAACATTCAATGCAAGAGTGACAGGGTATAGATTGTATTTCTATTTCCTGGATTCTAAGTGTTATTGTTTAGCTGATATGCAGTGATTCCACTCCTGCGCTAAGGTGCGCCAAATCAGATTTATTGCGGCTCCCTGATAACACGAACTGAAATGGCACCGTCATCATCAGCCTGACTACGCCCACTGTGGGGCAAAGGCCTCTCCCATGATTCCTCAATCAATCCGGTCTTGTGCTTTCTAGTGCCACGGTATATCTGCAAACATTTTAATCTCGTTGGCCCATGTAACTTTCTGTCTCCCCCTCGAGCATTTGCCTTTTCTAGGTATCCAGTCAGTTAACCTTACTGACCAGGGGTTATCCTGACTACATGTTACATGCCTGGCAGGTGTCCATTTCTTCTTGATTTTAACTAATATATTAACCCCGGTTGGTTCTCTGGCCCACTCTGCTCTATTCTTGTCTCTTTAAAGACCCCTGATAGCGGTTCTATTTGCAAGTTTTTTACAGTAATTTGTAGCTTTGCGTCTGGTAATGCCGAAATTATATCGTAAATTCTTTAATGCATCGTATAATTAATGCTAGCAGCGTTAATTCAGAAGATTTTGTGGCAGTTCAAAACTCCCGCCTGAATACCATGATAAACTAGCACCCCACAGCGGAGCAGTGCCTGAAACTGCGGGCACCCAAGCTTCGGTGACACTGAAACATGCTGTTTTCAAATAGACGGGCCCGCAGGTGGTGAAGAATGAAACGATGTGGGCGCTTTGAGCATCTCCCCTTCAGAAAAACGAGAAGCATTCCTGGCGTAAGCAGACTAAACCACCTCGATAGCAGCCTGACAACAGAGCGATAGGGGTGACGAACAATATTTCTCGCCGGATACTAGTCGCAGTATTGTGTGCACCCCGCAAATGTTCTTGATCTCTGCAATGTCACAAGGGGATCCCCTATCTATGTGAAACCACAGAAAATGTCGATTGTACCTGAATACTTGGAGGAGCATGCACCCTTACTTTAAAACCAAACAAATATAACTTCTAGGCAATGCTCGCCACTAATAATCGTTCAGAGGCTGCCCCGTATGCAGGGCTGTCAAACAACACAAGCATCTCTAGTTTCCAAATTTGGTGTAAAGGATCCTTTAAGGTTACACCCTTTATTTTATTTTCCATCACTCGCTGCCTTGTCCTCAATTTAGGCTGAACCCTCTTTGTAAGCCTCCAGGTTTCTGCTCCGCAGGTAAGTACCGGCAACATGCAGCTGTTATATACCTTCTTGTTGAGTGTTAGTGGCAGATTACCATTCATGATTTGAGAATGCTTGCCGAATGTGGTTCACCCCATCCTTATTCTTCTAGTTATTTCACTCTCATGGTTTGGCTCCACGGTTACTACCTTTCCTAAATAGACATATTCCTTTACAACTTTCAGCTTTTCTCCATGTATCACAAAGCACCATTTTCTGCCGGGACTGTTGCACGTTACTTTAGTTTTGTGTATATTAATTTTCAGACCTACTTTTCTGCTTTCCGCGTGCAGCTCAGTAATCATGAGCTTATGATTACTGAGCTGGAAATTGCACCCAACTGCGTCAAAGCCGGATTTGGGAGCTTCTATCACTGGCAATAACCACCCCGGCTCTTTCGGAACAAGTGCAGCTGATTCTCAGGGCCATCAATGTCACAACCACGTACCTAGAACTATTTGGCTAAATACTAAACAGTGGGGGCGCGTGCGTCTCAAGTAATCCACAATGTTTTCGGTATCGACGCAACTTCTGTTGTGCAAGTCATCCCAACGGCGAAATGCGATCTCCGCAGGGACTCGTGACGTCTAGTCTGATTAGTAGTGTTTAACTGTGGCGGTGATTGATCAGCAGGTCGTCTGCTCAGGAGCGCTGCTGGTAGCTCGTTTCAAGAGTCGCACGGTACGTAACTAAAGCAATTTTCACTAATAATTGAATGCGTGCACCCAGAATGTCTGTCGCGTCTATTTCTGGACATTGCAATTTAATCTTCCGTGCTTCGCATTTACAGAAGAACATGTGACAATGAGACCTCGTTCATCCTTTGGTTTTAATATGCCATATTTGCTCTCGTAATGAACGCACTCACATGATATGCACACCCTCAGCTTCAGTCAAAATCTGGATTTTTTTGTCTCCCGTGTAATAAAGAGACCCCCTACATTTGTCCGCTGAAATCTTGTTAAATAGAGTTTAAAGGTTGCATATGCAGTAACTAACCGACACCTGTCACCTCCTTGCCCATTGGATCTCTTTCATTTTTTATTATTATACCAACCCGCTTCGGCCACCTCAGCTCGCTCCCGCTTGCGTGTGCTGTATTGTTCTTTCTATCTTTGCACGGCACGCGCCCTGTCTTTTTTATTATCCGTGCGCCACAGCGGGGTTCACGAACAGAGCGAGTGTAGAGACATCGCAGCTGACTAGCACACAGCGAGCAAAGGTCACGAAACTACTCGGGCCAACCAACGGTTGCGTCCTGCAAATACGAAACTTTAAGGCCCAATCACATGCCCAGCTCCTGGGGCTTCATGCGCTCAAGATTCAGTGACGCCGACCCTGCCGTTTTCAAATAGGAGGTTCCCCTGGCGGCGAAGAATGTAACGATGTGAGTGCTTTGAGTGTGTCCCCCTAAGAAAAAAGAAAACCGTTTCTGGCATACGCAGCCAAACCCATTTTGGGAACAACCCGACAATAAGTGAGTGAGGTGATGATCAGCAGTCCTGTGAGTGTGTTTCGTGCGTCATTTGTGCGTGAGAAACGCAGGGCACATTTCGATCTGCTTGCCATTCGATGCGTGACTTTCCAATTTGTTGTTAGGCTATAATGGCCTCAGTGGGGCTACTATAATCGCGCTATGGTGTGCGCACCCCACAAATGTTCTCTGACGCCGACAATTGTCGCTTGAACTCTGGGACTTCCAAGGAGGCCTCTTGTTTACATCCAACCATGAAAAATGTCAATTTACCCTGAATACCTGGATGAGCATGTACCCTTACTTTATAACCAAATTAAAAGGTCTTATAGGCAATGCTCATCACTAATCATCGGTCAGTAGTGCCCCTGCACGCAGGACTCTCAAACACAAGCATCTGGAGTTTCCGAATTTGGTCTCAGGGATTTTTTTAAATTAAAGCATGCTTCCCGGTCGGAGCAGCTGCTATTAGGCTTAATATGCGCAGGTTTTAGTAGGGGGCTTTTGCTGACAACCCTGGTGTGTTGCGTCCCTCGAAGGGCGCAGTCGCTGTCGTGCGCTCCCTCAAAGCATCGTGAGACTGCTCGTAAACTTTCTGTGCTACTAACCCCTTCTTCACATTTAGACAACTGAGACTGCGAAAACTGCTTCAGCACGTGCATTGGTCATTGTCCCTTTAAGCACCAATCTGTTGAGTTGCGTGATATTGGGTCCAAAAGATAAATTTTGTTAGTTTCACTCAAGCTGTTAGCAATGAATGCGGTGCCAACAAATTGTCTTGTTATATCAAGTGAGGCTTGATGTCATCTGCAAAGAGCACCAGCGGTGGGGTTGCCGTTTCAAAGGTCTGCACCCTAAAAAAATTTGCTGCATACGCTGTGGTCGATATCCATACAGCGATTTGGATCACTAGAGTACTCAAGAACTCCTCTTGCAAGTCGGTGCATGCACAGCACAAACGCTGCATGAGAATGAACCTCCAAAATGGTGCAACGAAGGTGTGGCCACCTTACAATCAAGGCTCAGTGCGTACTCTCTACATGGCCACCGTTCGAGAAAGTGAGGCACTTTTCACACAGTCTGTTTGCATTCAGAGTATACGCAAACCTTGATATAACGAACCCGGATGTAAGGGAATATCTGTTATAACGAAGTAAGTAAACAATAGTCTTGCAGTAGACATAGTAGAATACACCTTTACAGTCGACTCCCGTTAATACGAAGTTCACGGGAACCGCAAAAAACTTCGAATTAAACGAACTTCGAATTAAGCAAAAAGCACTAAAAATGGCACTTTTATTAGTTTAAAAGTGCGACAGTTTTGAGGAAAAATAGTCTGTCATCTTCTTCTGCTTGCCGAATCTGGCTGCGGCTAGCAAGTTTTGTAAGGAATACACGTGTCGAAGTGCTTCTTCGGCGTTGTGTTCTCCAACAAAAAACCGCTGCGCAAGAGCAAGACCCGCAGCTACATCGGCAGCCCTCGGTGGTGGCTCATTTCCGATGTCGTCGTCATCATCGTCATTTTCAGGAATGCAGTCATGGGGCCGAATTATCTGCACGATTTCGCTGTCCGTTAGTGGACCGCATGTTTCGACGTTGCTGTCCACAGCGACATACTCGTCAAAACGGATGTCACCGAGAGCGGCGCGAAAGCTACCGTCGTCGAGCTCATTTGTTTGCACTTCCACTGGCGCACAAGGAGAAGCATCCCTCGAGTTTTCCATGAAACCACAGGCCCGGAAACAATTGGCGATGGTTTCTTCTTTCACGCGGGTCCAAGCTCGCGCTAGCATGTTGATGGCACTAAGCAAACTCGCCTCGTATTGCGACGAGTTGTCCATGCACAAAAGCATGCGCTCGACGAGATGCTGCCTATACAATACCTTCACATTTTTTATTATGCCCTGGTCCATGGGCTGCAACACGGACGTCGTGTTTGCAGGCAGGTACACAAGACGGATGGCACTCAAGGCAGGTACGTTCATGTGGGAACTACATTGGTCCACAAGGAACAACACCTTACGGCTTGATTGCGCGAACTTGCGGTCGAGTTTGGTGATCCAGTCCTTAAATATATCGGATGTCATCCACGCCTTTCTGTTCGAGGCATAATCCACAGGAAGCGTCTTCACGCCTTTAAAGCACCTAGGCTTGGCAGCCTTCCCGATCACAAGCAGGCGACACCGTTCTGTGCCAGTCATGTTCGCCGCGACTAGCACTGACACTCTCTCTTTGCTTCTTTTGCCTCCAGAA